TTTCGAAGAGTAGAACGGTTGACGTCCCAGAAATGGTATCCCGGTCAGATGTAGGACTGTAAGGGCGCAGCAGTCACGTTGCTCCGCGGTGTTGAAGTCACAAGAACGGTGTTCTGGCATGAGTCATGATCGTCAGGACGCAAGAGTAAAGGTTGATTCGCGGCGTTGAAGTCCAAGGAATGATGTTCTGCCACGGTTCAGGATTTTAAGATGGTTGTCGTCCAACGGGGCACTTTTCTCAATGAACATGGATCCTTGCATGGACCTGTGAAGAAGGAACTTGGAGGGAGGGTGTGTAGCAACATCGTTGATGAGTCTTGGGTTTGCACTGGTCATCCTCCTCGTCGTCGTCGTCGCCATCGTCATCGTCATCGTCATCAACATCATCACCACCACCATCATCGTCATCACGTCATCGTCGTCGTGGCTGTGGTGGTCGTCGTCGTCGTCGTCGTCACCCGATTCCTCGTCATCCACACCCTCTTGTTCCTGTACATGTTCATCCGTCCCATTCTCTTCCTAATGCTACCCCTCACTCTCCAGCACGTCTCCATGTCCCGCGGAGACCGAGACGAACACGCAGAAGAGGCAGATGAGGGCAATGATCACCTTGCTTAGCTTCTGTTTTACTTGGACTAACCCTGCCCACTGGAGGAGAGGGGGGGGGCAAAAGATCCGATACCGTTACTTCAAGACCTCTCCCGGGGTGTTCTCGGACCAGAACTTCTAGGGGAATCCAGCCGTGGCGACGAGGGCTCTCCAGGACGAGCAGCGGTATCGACACCTTTCCATCCTCTAGAAGGAGGGGCAGGCAGCTGGGCAGGAGGAATACGAGCAGGAAGATGCCGACCGTGGGAGTGAGGGTGTCTCAACGCGTCGCCTGCCCAAGCCGGAATCTGCACGCGAAGCACACCGGGCATACGCCCGTGAAGCGCGGCAGCCTTGCCCTCGCTGCAGCAACATGGTGAACCACCGGGTGCAGTCAGGGCGGCGATTCGCCGCCTGAGCAAAGGCGGAAGGCAGGTGATGCCCTTGGCACGCCGTCTTCATCGGTCTCGACTGGCGGTCGGCGAACCCCTTCCGGGCAAAGGAGAGATCAAACCTCCAGCCGCGGGTCTCCCCGCGGGCCCCCCAACACACACACTCCACGGCGGCAACAGCACCCCGAACACTGACGACCAGCTGGACGTAGGTTCCGACCTGCGCGGCATGGGGCGTCACGTGACACGTGGGGGGGCTGCGACGCTGCGACCACTTCTGGCTCCTCAGGCCAGCCAGCGATCACACGCCGCAGGTGCTGGGGCATCTGCTGCCACGGCGACCAGCCGGACACCGGCCCTCACCCGGGCGCAGAGGGCGGCAACCAGCCCAGCGCTGCAGCTGACGCAATCAATCAGCATGGAGGCCTACAGCCGGAACACCCCTCATGAAGAATACCCCTCGTAGACACCCCTCACGAACACACATAAACACCCCTCACAAACACCCCTCGTAATTGACGCAATTATCAGAAGAACACCCCTCATGAACACGAGACCCTCCGTCGGCCAGAACAGACGGAGCATCCGAGGCTGCCCTCCCCGGGATGCACAAGACCATCCAAACACGAAGAGCACGAGGGCACCCTCCCCGAACCGACCTCGATCTCAATGCCTCGGCCCAACGGTGCTCCACCCACGACAGAGAGGTGGCCTCAGGCCGGGCCTGTCCCCCTACAGGCGGATTTTAGACGAAAAGTAAAAACAATTAAAACAAATCAAAACAAGTCGCCCCCAGATACTATTTTTTGAATACTCCTCCTGTAGAGGGACAGGCCCGACTGAAAGGTGGCCCTCGTCGGCGACGGCCCCCCCCCCCCGCGCGGGCGACCGAGGCGCCCGTGGCCCCTGGGTGCCCGGGGCCTGGCCTCTGGGAGGGCGCCCCCCGTGGGCCGCAGCGCGGCGCACGGCCCCGTTCTGAGCTCCTCCTCCTCCTCCTCCTCCTCCTCCTCCTCCTCCTCCTCCTCCTCCTCCTCCTCCTCCTCCTCTCCTCCTCCTCCTCCTCCTCCCTCCCCCTCCCCCTCCCTCCTCCTCCTCCCTCCCTCCCCCTCCCTCCCTCCCTCCCTCCCTCCTCCCTCCCGCCTCCTCCTCCTCCTCCTCCTCCTCCTCCTCCTCCTCCTCCTCCTCCTCCTCCTCCTCCTCCTCCTCCTCCTCACGATCGGGGGGCGCCAGGGGCACGGGGGAAGGCTTCCCAGGAGGAGGCCGCCTCTCAGGAGGCGCGGGCCTCACAGCCACAGACGAGGCCCGCGCCCTCGAAGCCCTCTCAGAAGCAGGCGTTCGTCTGAGGAGCCGTCCCCCCTCCCCTGTACAGTGGAGGCTGGTCCACAAGAGACCTTCCACAGGCAACCCAACCCTGAGACCCCAGGACGTCCATTGGTCTTTGGTGCGGAGCCGTCCCGCTTTCCATCGCAAGACCATCAAAACCCAAGAAACCCAGGGCACCCTGGAGGCAAGAGGAATGC